GTGCCTATTTCCCTCGTACTTGTATCTTTTTTACTTTTCTTTCAGTCGATACATTTTAAATGTTCAAGCAGAGTTTATTACATTTAATTCTATTTAAACACATTTTTTTTTCATTTTTACATTATTCAGTTTTCTTCAGTAAATAAAATGTTTTATATATTTCGTACCATTTTAAACAAACTACTACGCTTGTTCTTGCACGTACTAGATACACGAAACTCTAGTTTGAAAGAGTAGGTATCTGTGTGCTTGGCTTTTCTTTGAAACACCACACACTTCTATAAATATAAACACCCAGGAACTTTGGTATTTGTGTCTCTTCCTCAGAAAGAAAATTCAAACTTATTGTTCTTCATTCCTGTAGGCATAGAGTTAATTTTAATTTCTATGGCGGGACAGACAAGGCCGAATGGTTAATATGCCCAGACTTTGAATCCGAAAGTTCAAAGTTCGCGTTCTTTTGCCACGAAAAATGTTCCCCGCACTTTGGACCCGTGGATACGTTGTCAAATTAAATGTCAAATCTCACTATTTGGTCAGGCAAGAGTAATTCAAGAATTGGTGGTGGGTGCTGATGGCTAACTGCCTATACCCTAGTCCATCGGTTCGAAATTAAGGACGTCTAATTTTCTAATTCTTGTACGTAAATATGTCTTGAGTAGCTTTGCGAGAAAATTCTCAAACAAAGAAATAAACTTTCTGTTGTTGTTTGTAGTTAAGCACAAAGCTACACAAAGAGCTACATGTGCTCCGCCCATCACGGGTATCGAAACCCGGTTTCTAGCGTTGTAAGTCCGCAGACATATCGCTGTGCCACTGGGGGCTAAACTTTCTGTAATGTTAAATAGATAAATACTCGTTGCTCCATTAGTTATCTACTACTTCGGTATTGTTTGTCGGTTTAAATGACAAATTTATGCAAAAAGTTTAGGAAAATGAATGACCAATAAATAATAGTACAATGATTTTATTACCACGCTTGCATCATATCTAACAGCTAATAGATATCACACATTTTTTAGCCAATTTGATCCACTTCAAGTGATCCCAGAATATTAAATATTACTCCACGTTATTTAAAAATATAACTCAAAAATGAAAAATCTTTTAAAATCGGTTTCGTTGCCCTACCTAATTTTGCCCCACCAGTCGAAATTTTAAAAACGTCATTAAAAAACACTAAATTCAACGATACGAGTTCTTTTATTATTTTCACAATCTTTCATTCCTTTATAAACAAGGAAAATATATTCTAGTTTATTCATTGTCTTAATATCTTCCTATTAAATCGATCAGGTAAAAAAACTTGGAATTCGTCACAGTTATCATCCATTAGCATAGCTACAATTCTACCAACATACTGTGTTTTAACCGTTTTTAATTCAGAGATAGAGTATTTATTAACACCATCTTCGGCCTCGCTCAGCTTACGTGTATAAATATTACATTGATGTGTACCAATAGCGTTTAACTTTTTTAACCCTTAAATTTAGTTAAATAGTTTTTTTATTAATATAGACCTATTTTTTGTAAGATGAAGATATGAATGTTTGGTTTTTTGATCCAATAACCTAATGCTAAAGTATTAATACCATCTGGTGACATATATATATCTTTTGTCATCATTTGAGTTTAATACTTTCTTATTAACTTGAATAGAATATATTTCATGTTTTTATTTCTTATTAGGTTCATGGTTTTATATATTTCTTTCTGCCCAAATAATCATTCTTTACATTCATTGAATGTAATTCTATTTTCAACAACACATTTCTTTTCACCTTCAGACTTCTTACAAATTTTATCATCTGGTAATTTGAAAGCATACATTTTAAATCTAAACCTCACAAATTCAGTCATTATCATTTCATTATTCTCATATTTCATTTTACCCAAAACTTTTTTTGCTTACTAACAGACTACCATAAGAATTATCGTTTGAGTAGTCTGAATTATCAAATAAATTAATGTTTTGTTTTACATCGTTGTGGAGATCATCTGTTTGTATTTCACAAATATAAGAATCAATATCTGGGCATAATAATTTTAAGTCATCACCATATTTTGGTTTCATTAATAAAAAGTATTTAAGTAAATGTAAGGGTTAAAAAAGTTATTGGTACACTTCAATGTAATACTTAAACACGTAAGCTGAACGAGGTCGAAGATGGTGTTAATAAATACTCTATCTCTGAATTAAAAACAGTTAAAACATAGTATGTTGAAAGAATTGTAGCTATGCTAATGGATGATAACTGTGACGAATTCC